TAGAATCACTAAAAGAACTGTTAAAATTTCTGGATGATATTAATCAATTTCACGAAACTATTACATTTTTTTCCATGAAAATAATTATACTTTTCTTTATATTGAATTTACGAAAAATTAATATGGTGAACTGGAAACAAGTGTACATCATGAATAATTAACATACTGTCATCAATATATCGAATCCTCATCGTGCAACTATTTGTCGTGTAAATCAGAAAACTTGTATATAGTAAGACTTAACGTTATGATCGCAGAATCGCTCCAGACACAAAACGTTCAAACAAGATACCGAGAAACGTAAACAATATTTCGTGAAATCAATGATCCGAAGGTAATCCTGAATAAAGCAAATAAAAACAAACGCATTATAATGGGCCAACTTTAAGAGATGACCAAAATAAAGAAATATCCCCATTCGTATGTACATCCCTACTGTAAAAAATATCAAAGAAAGACAGTGTTTAGAACTTATCTAAGCATAAACCATTAGCTTTTAAACGACCAACTTATCTAAAAGATATGTCGGTTCATTTATCAATCTTAGTGTATCGTTTGTAAATGTGGTCAATCTCGTTGTTGTCACTTTACTAAGATAAATGAAACATACACTTTTTTCAAGTACTTCCTTCTCTTCCAGGTTCAATTTTCAAATTCAATTTAACGTGTTCTGCAAATGATGTTTTTTTTTTATCTTATAAAGTCCTCCTGGGCTCCTTGCCGCTGGGTCGGGTGGGGGCTGCGTTCATTGAATGCCGCCTTTCCTTGTCGATCTTGTTTATCATATTTTAGTCAAATTAAAGAGGGACTTTAATACTCAAAAAAAGCTTTAATATGCAAAATTTATCAGACAAAAAGGTAAAATTATTGCATTTACTTTTTAGCTCACCTGAGCTTGCTCAGGGTAGCTTTTAGGATCGTTGAATATCCGTCGTCCGTTTTCACTTGTTCGTTAACACTCTAGCGAGTCATCTCGGATGAAAATCTAGGTCACAGGAGCTAAAATAGAAAAAAACCTTGTTAACACTCTAGTGGTCACATTTTTGCCTTAATCAATCATCATCAATCATCATCAAACTTGACAGTACCGTTCATGAACAGGCTCAATCAAACCGAGCCTGCAACAATTTTGGCGCGTTGGGCTTTCTTTAGGGATTTTTATTTCACTCAATTTTATCGCCACATCAGCGTTGTTTGTGCCGTGTGAAGGCTGTAAAAAGTCGCCCCGTACATTCAATCAGGGATGTTATATTTCCGATCCTTGAAGATCGTTCAGCGCGGCATTATTGTTGTGCTTTTGGTATTTTAGTTCTATCTATTCGGTATCTTTCGTGTTGGGTGGTTCCAGTATTCCTCTTGAATAGTGTTGAATCACCCTGAGGATATGAGGCCTGCTTTTTAAATTTGTCTTTTGACGTTATATCTGTGATATGCAGGCTTCATAACCTCAGATCCCCTTTCAAAATTCCATTTTATTTAGTTCCGCCCATTGTTTTCTCGTTTAGGGCACACGCATTTTTTTACTTGGGGACCATATGCCGCTTAACATGGAATGGCACTAACGTGTCACATTGAAGGTTCCATGATAACCGCCATATGAACACATCTTCGGATGTAACAAAATTCTAAATTTTGCCAGTTCATGTTAAATGTTGAATTCTGCTTAAGCCGGTGCTAGGGGGCGTGGACGGTAGTTTGCACTTGACATAACCGTTCATGAACAGGCTCAATCAAACCGAGCCTGCAACATTTTCAATTTTGCCGCGTTGGGCTTTCTTTGGGGATTCTTATTTCACTCTATTTGGTCAGGATGCTTATCTAGTTGATAGCTCGGATGAGTTTTAACATAGGTCATTTCGGATGAAAAAATAGGTCACAGAAGCTAAAATTGGAAAACCTTGTTAACAATCTAGCGGTCACCTTTTTTTACCCCAATCATCATCAAACTTGGTCAGGATGCTTTACTAGGTGATAGCTTGGATGAGTTTGAACATTGGTCATTTTGGTTGAAAAACTAGGTCACAGAAGCTAAAAATAGAAAAAAAAACTTGTTAACACTCTAGCGGTCACATTTTTGCCTTAATCATCATCAAACTTGATCAGGATGCTTGACTAGGTGAAAGCTTGGATGAGTTTAAACACAGGTTACCTTGGATGAAAAACTAGGTCACAGGAGCTAAAAATAGAAAAACCTTGTTATTACTCTAGCTGTCACAGTTTTGCCTGAATCATCATCAAACTTAGTCAGGATGCTTATCTAGTTGTTAGCTCGGCCGAGTTCAAACATGGGTCATCTCGGATGAAAAACTAGGTCACTGGAGCTAAAAATAGAAAAACCTTGTTAACACTCTAGAGGTCACATTTTTGCCTTAATCATCATCAAACTTAGTCAGGATACATGCCTAAGTGAAGGCTTGAATGAGTTTGAACACGGGTCATCTCAGATGAAACACAAGGTCGCAGAAGCTAAAAATAGAAAAACCTTAATAACACTCTAGCTGTCACATTTTTTCCTCAATCATCATCAAACGTGGTCAGGATGGTTATCAAGTTGATAGCTCGGATGAATGAGTTCAAACATGGGTTATCTCGGATGAAAAACTACGTCACAGGAGCTGAAAATAGAAAAACCTCTTTAACATCCAATCTGTCACATTTTTGCCTCAATAATCATCAAACTTGGTCAGGATGCTTGCCTCGGTGATAGCTGAGATGAGTTTGAACATGGGTAGTCTCCGATGAAAAAATAGGTCACAGGAGCTAAAAATAGAAAAAAACAAAACTTGTTAACACTCTAGCGGTCACATTTTTGCCTCAATCATCATCAAACTTGGTCATGATGCTTATCTTGTTAATAGCTCGGATGACTTTAAACATAGGTCATTTCAGATGAAAAACTAGGTCACAGAAACTAAAAATAGAAAAACCTTGTTAACACTCTAGCGGTCACATTTTTGCCTCAATCATCATCAAACTTGGTCAGGATGCTTTACTTGGTGATAGCTTGGATGAGTTTGAACATTGGTCATCTCAGATGAAAAACTAGGTCACAATTGCTTAAAATAGAAAAACCTTGTTAACACTCTAGCGGTCACATTTTTGCCTTAATCATCATCAAACTTGGTCAGGATGCTTATCTAGTTGATAGCTCGGATGACTTATAAAATAGGTCATTTTGGATGAAAAACTAGGTCACAGAAACTAAAAATAGAAAAAAACTTGTTAACACTCTAGCGGTCAAATTTATGCCTCAATCATCCTCAAACTTGGTCAGGATGCTTGACTAGGTGATAGCTTGGATGAATTTAAACACAGGTCACCTTGGATGAAAAACTAAGTCACAGGAGCTAAAATAGAAAAACCTTGTTATTACTCTAGGTGTCACAGTTTTGCCTCAATCATCATCAAACTTAGTCAGGATGCTTAGCTAGTTGTTAGCTCAGACGAGTTCAAACACGGGTCATCTCGGATGAAAAACTAGGTCACAGGAGCTGAAAATAGAAAAACCTCTTTAACATCCAATCTGTCACATTTTTGCCTCAATAATCATCAAACTTAGTCAGGATGCTTGCCTCGGTGATAGCTGAGATGAGTTTGAACATGGGTAATCCCCGATGAAAAACTAGGTCACAGGAGCTAAAAATAGAAAAATCTTGTTCACACTCTAGTGGCTTCTTTTTTTATCTTTATATCCTGTAAATTGGTCTGAAAATTTGTTTTGATGATTTTTAAAGTAAAGTTTGAATATGGGTCATCTGGGGTCAAAAACTAGGTCACTCTGCCCAAATACAGAAAAACCTTAATAACATTCTAGTGGTCACGTTTTTTACTCAATTATCATCAATCTTGTACAGAATGCTTGTCTACGTAATTGCTTGTATGAGTTCGAACATGGGTCATCTAGCATGAAAAACTAGGTCACAGGAGCTAAAAATAGAAAAATCCTGTTAACACTCTAGTGGCTACTGTTTTGATCCAAGTATCCTGGAAATTGGTCCGAAACTTTGTTTTGATAAATTCTAGGTCAAGTTAGAATATGGGTCACCTGGGTAAAAAACTAGGTCACACTGCTCAAATATGGATAATCCTAGTTAACACTCTAGTGGTCACATGTTTGACTCACCTGAGTGTCATGAAACTTGGTCAAATTGCTTGTCTAGGTAATTGTTCGGATGAGTTCGATGCGTCAAGTGAGCGATCTAGGGCCATCATGGCCCTCTTGTTTTATTTCAAGATGTATTAATAAGGTGTCTCATAAAGCTGAGGGTGACTGATTAAGCTAAATTTATCAGGTGTGTACGTGATAGATTGAATCAATGTAATGACTTGATAGAGATGAAAAGTCTTGATACAACATTTTTTATCTCCTACGTAGGAGGTCTAAAGTTGTACGCGGGTGTCATAAACTCCTTTTTAAGCTGTTGTATCTCCTACGTAGAAGTAATTTTATTTTTTAACAACATCATGAATTGGTATCAGAACTCTTCTGTATAAATGTGATAGATTATGAAATCGATATTAAAAGATGTTGATAGATAACTTTTTTCAGTAGTTTACTGTTAAAATTTATCACATTCATATCAATTTCAATCGAATTGTCGAATAAAATAACTGCCTGATAATAGACCTACGACAATACCCATTTAGCATTTGTGTGTCACCTTTTTATATTTTTGTAAATATTGTGTTGGCCACTCAACTATGCTATGAAAAATGTAATCGAATGCATTTCGTATATTAAAATTTGCATCACATTATAATTCATTTTATAACAAGAAAACTTTCATATAAGTCTTCATTGCCTCTTGATAAGCGTTGATTGTGTCCTTTAATGTTATAATAGATAGGCGTGGATTCTGAGATTCATTATATCAGATTTTGAATCTAAATTTCATTCACAATAAGAAATAAAAACTAACTTACTTAAGGCAAGTGTGAATTTAGAGCTTGATTTAATTCAATCAGATTCAAAATAATTAATCATATTTTAAACAAGGTTGTGCGTCTATAGATGTCCCGGCTAACTTTTCGATGAATCCAATTCACAAAATTACACCTGGTGTATGCTTTCAACATTGCAAAGGAACGGGAATGACATTTAAAATAATCGGATTAAGTCGGGGCAAGGTACATCATTGTTATTATACCAGCAAAAATATCTTTATTTTATTTCGTATGTTAAAAAGTAAGTAAGAATTGATCAAAAGTGTGGTTTTTAAATGACTAAACTATATAGACTTCAGTGTATAAACTTAAATTATATTTTGTAAATTTGCCCGAAATGGCCAAAAAGATAGTGATAGAGCAACAAAGTATATCTTAAACTGTTGATATTTCATTACCTCAAACATTCTCAAATATTTCCCATTTTAAACAGATATAAAAGAGTTGGTGTAAGAATGCCTTCACTTCTTTCATATACCAAAGGCTCATGAAAACTGTTTGTTTACATTTTCTTTGTGACGACATATAATGTAATAGAACAATTTTATAATCTATTAAGTTATATCATTTTGCCAAACGTTGACTGATAGATTTGATCGATAAAGAATAGAATTTATTGTAATATTATAATGTAGATTAAGATGTGAAATTAGTTAGTCTAGCTTTTTATTCGTCAACTTATGATATTTATGCATTTAAATCAAATTGTATAAGCTTTGATGCTCAATTTTGGTATCTTGAATTCTTCAATGCTAATTAACTTCACATTTTTTTTATTTATCAGTGTTTTTGCGTGACCCATGAATCTAGCAGTGGTGACATTAAGACTGGTTGTGTTTTGAAAAATTCGGAGTGGCTGGCTGGGGATGGAGTTAGTTTTATGTCTCTATGTGAGAAGAAAGGTTAAGTAATTTTATTTACGCTTACACTATGATATATCAATTACAGATAAAATTTGTCACACTTGATTTCATTTTTTTCACACTGACCGTCAACCAAATATGAATTATGAACATGCTTTGCAAATAATTATTAGTTCTTCAAATAGATTGACCATCAACATCAATGTTTCCTTACTTTTTTTGTTGCTTCGATTTTATTTTACAAGTTCTGCTTCTAATCTAAATTGTATAATTAATATGTATTTTATGTCCATTGACTTAGTAAATATATAAATAACGCATTGCATGTTAATGATAAGTGAAAAGAAAATTGCCAGTTTTGTGGAGAGTTGAAAATAGCCCTTCAAGGTAGGAAACTTGGATTTTTTATGAAAGTTATTTATCTAAATGTGTACTACATATCATTTATTGCGATTTATGATCATTAAAATGAAGTATTTGTTGTAGCAAGGATTAAGACTACCTTGATAAGATTTTTCAACATCTTGAATTAATAGTTGAACCCAATCAATTTGTGGCAGGACCCTATAATTAAATGGCGTGCATCATTGGACCCTGTCAACTGAAAGTAAAGGAAATATCTGTATAACATCAGGAAGTTGGAGTATGGAAAATATTGATTGCTGCCATATATTTAGAACAACTTCTGTTGTATGAATATTCTTAACTCCATTGAGCAATGAAAAAGAATAAATAAATACAAATATGAAATGTGCAACAAGTAATCATAGAGTATGTGCATGAGAGATAATGTAAAATGTCCTAAAACACCGGTGGATTTAATCCGTAACACTAAAAATAAAATTATTTTAAAAATTTGACAGTCACTTAACAAACTTTCAATTGCAATGCAATGCAAAAAGTATATCATAAATGTGTATTTTAATTATTTGTCATATTAAAAGAGAATCGGGGCATCTGAGACAAATACTGTATTAAAATGGTTTTTACTGTCTCTTTTTAATTTTACTTAAATGTGTACATTCTTCATATCATTCTATGTACCTTTTAGAAAAGTAAAGGTTATTTTAAGCTTCTTTTTCAGAGTTGTTGTCTGATGTCAGCAGTGATGGAAACTGTTTTGCTTTCAATAAGCGCAACAAAACTGCATGGCAAATGTGCAGTCAGATCAGAAAATCTATTTGCAAAGCGCAAAGTAATGCTCATTTTATTTGAATACAAATATTATTGCTGCAATAAGTGTTCAAGAATAAACTTTAGTCTAATTATGATATTTATGAATATCTTTTATTTACAAAGTCTGCGAATAATTTCTAATCTTATATTTTTGATGATGCAATAATAACATATTATTTTGCATTAAATAATAAAAGTAGTAATCGTTTAATTAAATAGGCTACGGAGGTTAATATTATAAGATCACTCCATCATAACCAAACGAACCATATATTTTTTGTTCATAATAATAGTAACTCAAGATTTGATGCCCTTCACGGAAACTTCTGAATTATTGTAAAAACAACAACAACAACAACATCAACAATGTTTGTTAGTTTAACATATAAGTTGTTTTTGGCCATCCATTTAATTATTATTCAAACGATAGAATATAAAATGTGTCAATTTGCATTAGAATATATGTTTTCAAAAAGAAATGTCAGAGTACAGACTGAATACATAATAACTTAAGACACTATTAGCTACGCTATTAAATTCATTTTTATATGATTACTGAACAAAATCTAAACGGAAAGACTTTACAAAAATTAATTTGAAGTACAAAAATGAGTTAGAAACAGCGACCTAGCCAAAATGATAACATTTTTTATTTGTTTTGTTTGTTTGTTTTTTTTACTTAAATCGCAATTATTTGATTTAATACACTTGTTACTATATATAGTAACAAAATTGCCTATGATTTCAACTGATTATGAGTGTCACGTGACCTATTATGAGTTTGCGGCCCGGGGCCGAGAACTAGTTATCAGCCCGCAGAACATGTGCACGTGCACAAACTGAAACAATGACGTCATATTTTACGTCATCAAACAGTTAACTGTGAAAGTGAAAGTAGGTTGTCAGCACGAATCGCTTTATTTTTATTGTGAGAGCTTAAGCGTATTTATATTTGTTACTATTGAAATTTGAAGAAATAATACGACAAATACATTCCGAAAAAAAATGAAAATAAAACTTGCTTCTAGATTCTACTGCTTTGAACAGATCTCTGTACAGAACAGTAGAAGAGTACAGTAGACAAGAATTTCAACGAAAGAACTTTAAAGTAGATCTAGATCCTATTTGTTTTTTTTGTTTTTTTTTTTTTGTTTTTTTTTTTTTTGTTGTTTTCTTTTAATGCTAGAAATCTACCAGATCTATTAGATTTACCAAGTGTATTAAAGACATTATTACACGTCAGAGTAGGGCCAGAAGGTGATAATCGGCCCTGAATGAATAATGGCCCTCGGGCTCAAGCCCTCGGGTCCATTATTCATTTTGCCCTCTCCTGCCGTGTATTAATCTCTTATTCAAAGGTGGAAAATTTATAAAGGTAGGAGGGGAATGGCATCTTGCTTGGACAGAATACATCAAAGAGTGTTTTTTGAAAAGATGCAACCCACTCATATACGAAGATGTCAAGAAAAAGCCGGAACAACTTTACGAGCTTGCAGAAAGCTTCACATGGACACGTCTTATACGAAGCATGGTAGTTTACAAGTATAATGGTAAGTTTGTACTTTTTGTCAAAGGGTATAGAGCTATGATGTGCTATTATTGATTTTGTAAAACATTTGAATTTTCCTCATTAAACCATACCATGGTACCTAATGTATCTATAAATATTATAATAAATATCCAATATGGCGGGTGCGCGTACATAAAATCATCGCTCTATCAACTAAAATTCGCAACCGAATGTTTTTAGATCATAATACCGGCTTATAATTAGCTTTAATTCTGATAAATAATTCTAAGAAATAGTACAAAAATCTATTTTTCTTTTGTTCTGCATTTAGAAAATTGTTGTTTATTTGATTTATAATCAATTCAACGTTTTATGTTCCTATTGTTTATTAAATTTTGTTTTTCATTTCACAGATTTAACTTTTTATACTTATTGGTTTGTAAAAATTCAATTTAAAGTTTAAAAAATATTTTTCTGCAACTACAGAGTTCAACGATAAAATGAACATAAAATACGGTTACATAAAAGGACATGGTTCATTCGTAAACCTGGAATTTACTTTCAATGGGAATGCAGCAAAACGAGCTCTTTTTAAAACTTGTAAGTATATTTAAGAAATATAAGCATTTTACTGTAAATGTAAAAGTTAGCAAAGCGGCGTTTTGAATTTAAACTAAATAGTAATATCTGACAAAAACATTACAATTTAAGCATGGCTACATATAACATTTCCGATGCGACTACAAATCTTATGTTTATATATTGATTATGAAAAAAGATGTTTGTTTTGGTGGGTTTATTTAATTATTATCACTGCAATATGTCAAAACATAAATAATTTATACCTACCAAGAAATTAGCCATTAAAAACTGTTAAATCTGCATTTGGACCAAAAAAATCTACAGGTAATTATAAGTTGCGTTTTTTTAAAAAAGCCGAAATGTTAATGTTTGTCGAATATTATTAATAAAACAATATATAATTGACATATTTCAGTTGCAATGGCATATAAATAATGTCTCAAGAAATCATTGATAAAATTGCAGCATTAATGCATGTGAGTGCGTGTTGGCGATAACAATATACATGCATATATTTATAAAGTCATTATGTTTCTCGAAGTTCGCTTTTACGTTGTATTTATGCCAGATAAGCTCTTTTATTTAACTCATATCGACTACAGTATTATATTACTTTCACAAGCTGACGATATAGGCACGGTTGGTTGAATTATTTCATTCTTGAGAATTTCTTTCGTGTTTTGATGAATATTTCGAATAATTCGAATATTAAGCAGATGTTTTAGAATCATCAAGTGATAAAACAACATCTATATCAAGTACAATTTCAACAGTGAGCCGTGACTCCGCTTCTACAGAAGTATCACCGGAGACTACACTTAAGACGAAAAAGACAAAAGGTGCAAAAGAGATAAATAAAAGTTAATTTCAAAGATAACTTAATGCCACATAAATACCAGACGTTCTCTACAATAAACATAGAAAAAAACCTACATAAGAATACCTCTACCTTTATATCATTTAAGTGTCAACAAACCAAGATCATTTTACTCTTATATAATATTTTCCTCAATATATCAAACGAAGAGAATATTATATCATCCAGCAAGTATATGTTTTATATGTAGGTGCAATTTAGCACTGACTTTGACTAGAAATCAACTTTAAATGTTTAATGATTAATTTCAACAGTCGTCTTTGGATGTGTCACGGCAATTTATTAGTGTGTAACGGCAGTGTTAGTGTGTTACGGCGGTGGTAATAGACAGTAAAATGAAGCACTGCTCTGTTACCTCAAACAATCAGAGGATCGCAAGTCACGTTTCCTAATACTATACGTAATACCATTAAATGAATAAATTATGATGCGCTTCAACTAATTCTCCTTTCAATCAAAATTATTTGTAAACATTGGATAAGATGATAAAGAATAAAGTGGTTGTTTTAGATGCGCTGTATTTGCTCTGCTTAAAAACTATAGAGAATGAAAAGATTCCCGTCTGTATATAAAAAGAGATCATTTGAATTAAACTAGATAACTACATGTAAATGATTAAGACAAATTCCATTCAATATTGAAAGTTAATTTACTTATTTGTAGAAAAAGTACGCACATGATGGCTTTTGATTTAATTGAAGTATTTAATGTAACGTTAAATGTTACACAAATCATCTAAAATTTGCTGTGTTATAACTTTTCACATTCTTGAAAAAAGTAACAAAAAAGTTACCAATAATGTTTGATAAAAAGTGACGATATTTATAAAGTAAAGTTTATATATAATTTATATGGATAAACATCAACAAACATGATTTTATCAACGAAATAATAAATTTACTTATTTTATCTTTAAGTTACTTTATTAACCGGAAACGTTGAAAGAAAGGTCTTCAGTTTTACAATAATAACAAACAAAAGCAAAGAAAGACATTTTTTGAAAAAAGATAGTTAATTAAAACATGTTTGACCTGATTTTGAATAAACAGAAGGAAGGGTCGTTTGGCATTTGTGGGATTTGGACACATGCCCAATAGTAAATGTGTTTCTTCACTGAAAATGAATACCCTTCAGATAGGAGGTTCTGCATTAGGCATATAAAACCCTAACGCAAAGGGGTTTATCCTACCAAATATATTTTGAAAACGTATAAAAGTTTGTATAATAAGGTTACACACAGCACTACACATAAATTAAATTTAAAATATTGATATGCATATTTGCATATATCCTTTTAAAGATTATTAAAGTCATACACAATTTTTATTAACAAGACATACACGTTTTCTGTTCTGCTCTTGATTTACATTGATGTGAACATACTACTGTAGTATTATAATAAAAAAAAATCGGGATCCTAAAATCAGAATGTGTTTCATTAAAAAAACAGTAGATTAAAAATATGATATTTGCAAATTTTCAGACTCTACATTTGGAGTTCCTGTGGGAATTTCCGTTACTGTTGTCATTATTGTTGTGGCAGTCATTGTAATAATTGTGTCATTACAAAGACGGTAATGAATTCTTTTCATTAACATTGGTATAATTGACATTTTAATTTTAAAGGTGAATCCTTAAGATTTTGATAAATTTCACCGATATTTTTTCCCTTTGAAAAAAAACATTTTCAGTGTTAACAACTTTTAACCCAGAAATGTGTTAATTAAGATTTTAAATGTAATTCCTTGTAATAAAAGAAAAGAAAAATAAAAAAGAAAAAATATGTTCTTTATATGTCAGAACAAAATGTTAAGTCTGAATGTGTTATTTCATATAGTGAAATAATTTGTTTGTATACTGTATAAAATCTCACACCGACACATTATTATGAAAAAAATGAATGAATAATTTGAAATTGATAATATAAAAGAAATTATTTTCTTTTTTCAAGTGGGATAATTCAAACCAAATGTTTAAGAAAAGCCAAAACTGAATGTACTGCCTATACCGGAAAACATCCCAGCTCTAAAAATGATGGAAATGCCTTTAGGTTCTCCTTATAATCAAATTGATGGTATAGGACTCCCATCAGAATCTTGCTCTGATAATGAAGTCTGCACTGATAATTGCATTAGCGGACACACATACTTTATCCTTGAAAAACATACATGGGATTCTGATACCAATGATAACATTGAAAATATGTTAAAAACAGACACAAGCAATGTTTATAACACACTAAACTCAAATGGAAATATAACTGGAAGCAGTAAATCTGAAAATACGTACAATTCTACAGAAAGGGTAGCCATGAAATTAAAAGCTCAGCACGATAAGAATGTAGATAGAGATGCAACGGAAAACACATATAATCATACGAGTAGTAGACGTCTAGTTAAGATAGGCAAAACCAACAACGTATACGGTGTTCCTAACAAATATAAAGATGAATACGATGATGTTGATACCAGAAATGTAAAGAGCCAGTTCAATGGAGGAGACACGTACAGTCATATCATGAAGAAATATTAAACGGTTAAAGTGTAATACTATGACAAAATCAAACTTAAATGTTGTCGAAATAACATTCAATCATTGAATATCTATTTTGTTTTGATATAATTTTTATGATCAAATGGATTCGGATTCAATTAAATTAATCGATTGCATGTAATATGTCTAAAAGGATAGTTGCTTTTAATGCATTCATTTTTCGTAAAAATAAACTCTGGTATTTTAAGCGTTGCTGCAGGCGCTTGATTTTCTTAATATTAATAATTTTTATTTAAACAATAAATGCATATGATATAGTTGTGCATATTCAATATACAGATTATATTTTGTGTATCGTTAACATTATGCATACCTTCAAAATGAGGTGGACTCACTTGGCATTGAAAATATTTGATACAAGGAAAATAATAGTGTAAAATTGAATCAAATGTAGCAACGACCATAACGATTCGACAGTAACAAATGTTTATTTACGCGAATCTTTTATAGATGTTTTAAGTTATATTGTTATTTTTACAATAAATATTGTTAAACGTTGTTTTATTGTTATTTTATATCTAAAATCTTTAAAATTGTGTTGCTGTTATTGTATACCTGAAATTTTTAAAATTGGTTGTTTCATTTATTTATCTCTTTATCTCTTTATTATTTTTATTTTATTATTACAAATACATGTCATATACATGTAACATCAATATAATGTACAATTCAGATATACATGTAAGTAGTAACTGCAATACAATTTAACAAAACAATTTTAATATACAAATATTGCAACATCATTTTGTACTTTTTAAGCGAATTGGCTTACAATTTAAAACAACATATTTAAATGTTCAATCTGAATCACTTTGCGTTTATTTTCTTCTAGCTAAGAATATCAAAATGATATATTTCTAGTCAAAATGATATATTTCTAGTGGGTTTTTGTTTTTTCTTTTATTCCTTTTTTTGTTTTTTTTTATTGTTTTTATTTAAATATTTGAGTTGCTAACAATATAATAAAAATATGTGCCAAATGTAGACCATTCCACTTTTAACAATCGTAAATTTATTCATTAGCAAATAATTAATAATTATAATTATTTTTCACATAGTAAATTTACCATGGACCCATTTGACAGTTTATTTTCCAAAATGTGTGTATTTTTTACAATTGAAAAGTCTTATTTTAAGCTTCCTTTCAGCCCATTCAGATTTGGAACAATACATTTTCTTTTGCATAAATAAATATATCTTTTGGCAAAATATGTTTTAACTTTCAAAAATTTTCTTGGGATTTCCCAAAATAACAGTTTTGCAATCTATCTCAAAGTTTACATTGAATGATTTGACACTACACCATGCAGCTTGGGAGGTAGGCTTTTTGTCATTGGTTGTTAATATATTGTAAATAATAGAGGTACCTTGTTTACATAGTGATATAGGTTTAAAATAACATTTTATCAAGGGGAGGGGTGTGGGGAATAGATTTGTCACTGATTAATTTTGTTCTATCTTCTACAAAGTATTTGATGCTTCTAATGAACCCTTCTGATTGTAAGAAATGTGTATTTCGGCCAGTTTTTCTATCAAAATCATGCTTTGTTATTAAATTTCCGCTAGCGTCCAATATATCTCTGAAAAATCTAATCCCCTTTACATACCAACCCCAAGAACACATGATCTTTATGATCTATGATAAATTTATGATTGTATTAAAAAATGGCATACTACAGAATTTGTCCATACTATTTGGAAATTGTTCATAAAATCACTGTAACATTTAACAACATCTTTCCAAAAAGAATTGTTTAAGTTATTATGTACTATTTCTGCATATAATCTTTCACAACTGAACAATTTTTCAGTATTAATAACAAAATATGTTAATGCATAACATTTATTCTCACCTCCTAGTAAAAGCCTTCTAAGCCAGGTTAGTTTTAAACTAATTATATTTGATAATACATCAGTCATTTTCAAACCACGTTCTGTAAAATTTTTAATAACAATGCTATTTTTTATTATGACCATTCCATATGCAGTCAAAAATATTTTATTAATATCATTTATCCAACGACTATTCGGATTTAAGAAGAGATAAATAATTGAGTTAACATGGGCAATACAAAGGACTTAATTATACATTTATTTATACATCTTAATGGTGTCAGTTCTCTCTTTTTCCAATATTGCATACAATGGATTGTGTTATTGTTATTTTATATCTAAAACCTTATAAATTGTTTGTTTTGTTGTTTTGTATACATAAAAGATCTTATATATTGTTTGTTTTATTGTAATTGAATATCTAAAATCTAAAAAGTATCTGAAACCAACCAGACTTTTATTCCATATTAATAATTCCATCCAATATTGGATTCAATACAAAGGTGATTAAAATTAGAACTGTTATTATCATAATATACAGTTCAACACCAGTTTCACGACGTAACTAAATTTAATTAATAATTTCATTTTTTATGCTTATTATGTAACTTGCAAATCAATGTTGTGATTACTTAAAAGTATTTTATCTAAGCAAAATAAAGCTTTTAACCCCATATAGTCAATTTACACAAAAGCAATTTATTGATGTTTTGTCTAAGTACATATTAAGTGGCATTTAGGGAACATAATAATAATGTAATAAATAAAGTTCGTTCATAAGATCATGCCGACTTTGCTTATATACTTACTTAAACGATATGTACAAGGACACACACAAAGATATTATAAACTGTAAATAAAACAAAAATGTGTAGCCAATATTTAATAAAATGAATGTAACAATCTTGTCTTACCTATTTTATCTGAATGGTATTGGGTCTAAGCCTCTTTCTAATGCTTTGTTAAATTCAAATCATTCATTGCATTATGTTAGAAAAATAACTCAAATTGAAATCGATGTGACTGTTTCAGACTTATCATAAAATAACCCAAAACAGTTAAGACAGTATGACCGCACCATGAAAAGACAGGTGCACTTATGAACTATCCCTCATGAACATTCTCAATCAAACAATTTCTGCAATTTTCATGTTATTTTGTTGTTTTCATTATTTTTAAGGGATCCCTATTTTGGATTGTTCTCATTCAGTCACTCATATAAAAAAAGGCATGTGCTTGATATTGACTCAGGCTGCTTAGTCTATGTTTAATAAAATATGTTGTAAATGGTATGTTACACACATAAGGAGGTCGATTCTAACACCGAAAGTTAACGAGAATATAGTTTAAATTGTGTCGCAGTTCAACATGTCATATTACAAAGACGCTAGGACACCTTATTAAAATTAATAGATGCAAACAAATAAAAATCTAATCTTTGGCATTTCAAAAACGCTAAGTGTTGAATTGCTTTGGCATGAATAAGAATGCTAAGTTGTTCAATCAAATCAAATCTACTTTTGGCACAAATATAAAATTTGTAAAAAGTGTTCATGAAATTGAACATATAATGTTTTAATATTGGTATTATACATTGACCCGATGCTAATACTGGCATTCGAATACAGTCTACAAACAATTTTCCCGACGATCCTTTGCTGAAGCATTCTGAATTGACGTAACGCGTGACGCTCAATTTTCCATATTCTTATAGGCTTCGTTATCGTAATCTATCAGTCACTGCACTGACATTTTAACATGTTGGTCTAGATTTTTCTCTGCCGTGTTAAATACCTTAAACGTCTCTGTTGGAGTCTTCATGCTCAAATTTTTAAACCTTCTTGATGCAACATTTTCTAAATGTACATGTATACATCTGTCGTCAATGAAGTTTATTTTGTACTATAATACCGAGTCACTTAAAAACTGGGAATAAATCATAATTATTAATGTAACACTTCATCAGAGCTTGGATTATTTATTATTTTTAAGTACTGGTATTTAATACCATAGTGATATCTTCAACACTCTAAGGAGGGATGTTGCTTATTTCGTTAAAACTTGTTACCCGACCCATTCTTTGTGAATGTTTGTTTTTGTAATAATTCATGTAACGTTACATGTATTTGTGTAATAATAGTTGCAATAAAATATTATTAATCTAATACCATAGTGACTGCGCTAAAATGATACATAATTGTCTTTAAGCGATTTGTCACATGTTGTTGTGGTGTCTAAAATCTTGAATCTGGTGTTCCGAAACTATAACTATAAATATTAAAATGCTTTAAAAATATTGATGAGATGATAAAGCGTTCTTTATGCAATTATATATAAAAATGTGATACCTGCAATTCTGTTTAATATAATTTCAGAGTTTTTCATGATAAACCCGCTTCAAAATGTATTATGTAGAGAGACCTGTGTTAATAATTCGAATTTTATGAATATACAATTAACTCACTGACAGGATGTAATCGCAGAGTTTTTATTTGTAACTGATTATTTAATGGACATTGCATTTCCTTGCATATAAACACAGGAGGAGCAGTCTGATTCAATTCTGATACTCTTTTAACAAGATGAGAACGCTCGAAGTGCAACATTTCTTTAAAAAAGCACCGATATAAAAACTTAGATAAATCCAAATCCTATACTATACTGAATATAAAGGTTAATATTCTGCATGTATCTGCCAACAGTTATATACACATAATTGAAGCAGCCGATGTAGTTTGTTTATAGCATTATAAGCGAATTCGACAAGTTAAAGCCGGCACGTGTAATATGTTTATAAAGTTGTGTGCCTATTGTTTCTTAACATTGTTATTCATGACAATTTTTTTATATTATTAAATCGTTATGTTTTCTTTGGATCAAGAATGTCATATGTGTCAGTTTCCTTTGCAGCCGGATCGATACTGCAATAAGTATTTATGTTATCTAAATGGAGATCCTGCCTTGCATCTACATTCATATAGTAATTTAGTTCACCAATTCGTTCATTACCGGCCTGTTGAAAGTTTTCGTAAGCGGAATTGGTTTCACTTGGAAATTGATCAGGAGTTCTTCTTAAACAAATACCTAATGCAGAACATTTGAGTCCCGTGCTCGGAATCTTTCCTCTGAAAAATAAAATCTCGTTCATCAACTTAAAGCAAAAATGGTTTTGATGTGTTTTAACAAAAAATGTTTTGTTTTAGCTAGAATCATAACAAAAGAAATGTTAACACTCGTTTTAAAGTTTAAAATACAATTCTTTATAAAACATATTTCCGAACATTACTTTATTTGAAATACATGCAATCATTAAAACATATTTTTACCTTTTTCGTAAGATCAAAATCACAATAACCGTTACTGCCACTAAGATTACAACTGTAACTGATACACTCATAGGAATACTGACGTCATAACCTGAAATATGAATTACATTTTTATTACGTAAACCATGGCGCCGGAGTGTAATTAAGTCATATAGTACTGGAAATAGTACTGTTCAAATCTTATGACCCTATTTTTTCCAGAAATGCAATATTTTATCAATAGTTCATTCAATTATAGTAAATCGAATTCCCATTGCATACATGCGTTTTGGGATATAAAATACAACATCACTGGCACTGAAACTTTATATCACCAGTTCATAAAAAAACAACACGAAATCACATTTTTTTCTGAACAGGATTCAAATAAAACGCATTCCATTCCAAATATTGTTCATACTGGAATAACTTCATTTTTTAATGCATTGTTTTTCGTTTCATTGAAGCCATTGTATTTGTTTGACATATTAATGTTAACACTTATATATACACATTGATAGTAACAACAATTCACTGCAGGGTGGCACTTGTATATATCTATTAATTTCACGCTGATTTGTGAAATAAATGATAAAACAAGAAACAATAGATATATTGAAGACATAAACAGTCTTCTTACTATATAAAAATGTATAATGTAAATATCTGTGTAAAAAAACAAATGAGCATCATTACAATACGTGTATTATCTAGCTCGTTAGAAATGACTTTGTATCAAATAAACATGATATGGCAGTAATATATGAAAAGTGTATCAAACTTTAACTCACTGTCAGGTGAAAAAATCCCATTCTTTACCGTACTGTCTCTACTATTCATGAATGTATTGTTGTAAATTGGAAATGCCGATGTTTTATGGACACCGGTTGCTTCAGAAAAGGACGTACTGTGTGTTGTTGGTAAGGTACTGATATCGTCTGGTTTCGTAGCTATTTCAGCAAGAAAAACTATTCTTTCACTAACAGTTTTTGCAAAACTTCCACATTAAACAATAGTTTGATTACTGAATACTTTATCTAATATGTGTACTGATTGCAATTTTAGAGTATGCACAGTATATAAAGAAAATCACTTTACGCTGTCTTGCGAGCTTAAACAATTAAATGTGTACACTGACTTGCGACTTTCAATCACTGTACCCGTCTTGGGAGCCTATATATTTTAACTTGTATCTTTCTTGCGAGTACAGAAAGTAAACTTGTTTATATACTGTGATATGTATTGATCTAATAAGTCCACGCTGATATGTGTAAGAAATGACTTACAAGAAACGATAGATACATTTAAGATATAACAAGTCTACTAATAAATAATACTATATGTAAACTATATAATGTCATCATAAAGAAATATATGTTATCAAGCTCGTTAAAAATGACTTTGTATCAGACAAATATGATATGCCAGTGATTTATGAAAATTGTATTATTTTTTCACACACTGGCATGTGACTTAATCCAATTCTTAACTTTACTGTCTGTATTGCTTATGAATGTATCATTGTAAATTGGAAATGTGGATTCTTTTTGAAAACACGTCGCTTCAGACAAGGTCGACTGATTGCCAATGGTATATGAGTAATATCTTTTGGTTTCGTCGCTATTTCAGCAAGAAAAAATATTCTTACACTAATAATGTTTGCAATTCCGCATTAAACTATGGTTTGATTACTGAATAATGTATTTATAGTATATTTGTACTCCAGTATTTTAAATAATAATAATAATAATATTAATAATAATGATGATGAGAATAATAGTATCAATAATGACAACAACAACAACAACAATAATAATAATAATAATCATGAATATAATGATATTAATTAAATGTCTTAATCTTTTATCATATATTTATATATGTAATTTTACAAAAAGTAAATATGAAATTAAAGAACAAAATAAAGAGATGAAAAGTTCATGATACACAAACACCACAACACCATCCATCCAGAACGGCGCAATTAAGGTTAAAAATAGTTTATTTATGGTGTCTTTACATTCCTGAATGCCTTGTTTCAAATTATTTTAGATTTGTATTTTAGATTTGTTAAAGAAATGAGTCACATTATTTAATCAAAATGACATTTTAATTACATGTTATCAAACGTAAAGTGAATTGGTCTATAATAAAAGGTGTGTAATGCAATGAATAATCACATTGATATTATTAAGTATCAGACATAACAACAAAACACAACATAAGTTTGTATTGATGCTGTTGTACGTAATCAAATATGTTTTCTAACAATAATTTGTTAACATATTCAAATGATACATTTCTATTAGATTTTTTGTTGTTTTTTTTTTTTGTTTTTTTTTTTTTTTTTTTTTCAATATTTAAAATACCTATGGAAAATTGTAAACCAATCCACTTTAATTGTAATGTAAATGAGGTGTAATTTAAAAATAATTCAATGAACGGGTAGCAATAATTTACAAATTTACTTACGTGATTGAAGCAGGTACCGCTTATTATTGTAACTGTTCTTCGTAAATGAAAGAAATGTAACGTTTCCATGTTTAGTTATATATCCAAACTTTGAAACATCATTTGCGCTTATAGCATTTGAAGATTCTACAAAAAATGAATAGGCTAATCAATAACAATTACAAAGCTCACTGACTTAAAATGTTTATTATGTCTATAACTGTCAAATTAGGCACATACTATTTTAGTCATTAAAATGTGCTATTAAAAGAGCAATCCAAGTTTTGGCATAGCTAACAATACAAAAGTAGTTAGTGAAAGGTGTTGTGACTTTGTATTATGAAATTAAAAAAAAATCAAATCAGTTAAAGATCCTGTATGTTGCAATTGAGGTTGTATTCCACACTTAAGTGAAATCTTATATATGTATATAATGATGCTTATAAAACAAACATCGACGAATGCGTCAAAAATGTACTGTGAATATTTTGGCATATAATATGTAATCATTAAAATATATACATTCATTGCTTATTGACAAATTTGACTTAGACTTTATAGAAAATAAATTTCTAATTACCTCCCTTTGTCTACAGGAAATGTTAAATTCGGTAATTTCTTAACAAATAATGCTTTTTGGAACTTACAATATTGATCAATTTTAACTTGAGCAATATATTTATGATAGGAAACCATTGAAAAATTGTGTTACAGGATCTTTAATGGTATATGACATTGTACATTTTAACAGTGTGATTAAAATCTAGAATAATTAATAATAAATATAGCATTTCCTTATGAAATATATGAGTATGTTTATGCACTTAATAGAACATATCTTATTCAAAACGAACTGTCTTGAGAAAACAAAAACCAAAGTTGCAAAAAGAAATGAATAACTTGACTTAACTCAACAGTCAGAAAATACAACTGAGAAAAAAGTCCTTAAAATAAACTATGGTTTTACCTCCGCCCACTTTGATATTTATAAATTGTATTTGTTTAAACTGATCTAACACCATATTGCATGGGAAAAATTAAATAAATGAATCAATGAATTAATCTAAAAATCATCTCACCATAATATTTGTAGATCACATCACTACGTATAACGTTTGTCCATGACGGACCATTAGCCTGGGATATAGATAAACTCACTGTGTCATTATAAGTGATTGGAAAACAGCCATTTTCAAAGCACGTTTTAACATAATGCCTCCATTGAATATATGCCGCGAAATTATGGCTTGCAACCTGAACTTTCGCTTCTGTAAATTGTAAACACAAAGAAAAAAGGTGCACACAAATTATGTAATACTATACACTGAACCAAAATGCTAACTTTACACCTACGTAAATGTGCATGTTTCTAAAACTAGTACATCGATATCGATAAATTTGAAAACCAACAACAATTATAGCACAATAGTTTAGCAATAAATTTGTTACGTTTTACTGCTTTTGACCAGGCGTAATGAAGTTATCAACAATTAAAATTTTCTGAATTCACAAACTGCAAGATATCATGCAAATTCACATTAAAAAGATGTTATAACGGTCCAAAATATAAAGTTATCTGAAACAATGACTTTGTCAGTATGCGTATATTTAGAGGATATTAAAGTTTTTCTATAAAATTTATATAGAATTTATTTTCATTGAGTTATATGAAAATAAATATTTCATAAGTGGCGGAAGCCACGAGTTAAATAAGATAATGTTTACGCCACAAGATGAAAATAAATCCGGTATTTATGGAAAAATCTGAATTCTCTGTTTATTAAATACAATTTTGTCAATTTGAAATATTTTAAGTTAGATTTAGTATATTGACTGGATTTAGAAAAAAGTAGACTGGAAGGATAGCAGTGAAAATACGGAAAATATGTTTCACTAAAGTGATCAATATTTGTTTGACAGTGAAAATACGGAATATGAAAGTACGCAATTTATTTCTTCTATTTGTTTAACATTTATTATTTAAATTAAGTTGCTATTCTATAAATTGATTGCGTAAGACCGATTCCTAGATGTAATATTATGTGGTTTTGTACGTGAGTATATCACAAGTAGACAAGAAATAAGAGACACAAGAATATTCTATGAATTCAAGTTTAATACTGGAGATAAACTCTTTACTAGAACTCCTTTACTACTTTGTAAGCATGCGCATGTATACATAAATATAAGCAGTCTCATTTTACACTAGTCATATACATATTAATTCATTTATTAAAAAAATGAATGCGCTCCGTGTGTCTCGAGAATTAAGTTATCGATAACTTTGCTAGGAACATCGTTCTTTACAGTTAACATGTATTATAATAAAATATATGTATTATGACAATGAATCGAACATCCGGGTTGTAGGTATCAGAACAGCATTAAGGTAATTACAAATTGAAATTTTCATCATAAGAATTTTTTTTTGGAATTCTGAGCTTGTTCCTTGGATTTTTGTTTTAAAATATTTAACAAAGGTACTTTGCAAAGAAAAACCAATTCTTAGACATTTTGGGTTGCCTTATATTAACCCTTAACCTGCTGGAACCAACAGTTATCAGCCTTAGCCACCAAAATAGAGCCAGGCCAGCCTATTAAATTGAAATCCTTGAACTTTGGATGGGTTGTTTCAAGTTTAAAGCTAGACACATCCATTTAAGAACAAGAGCACCGCTAGGCGGAGCAAACTATGCCCGAAAGTGTTTTTATTTAGTAAGGATGAAGCATTTAAGACATGAGAATTATATAAAGTATTTCCTCCTTCAAAAAGCAATCCTCCTTTATAGCTGAAGAAACTTCATATATATCAACAGTTGCTGTTTCCAAAGCACCACCATCAAGTTGTTATCTTTTAAGTAAAATGCTTAGACTGATGGACGGAAAGACGCCAGGGGTATAACTTATTAATATAAGCAAACTTTAAGGGCATATATTTAATGTACTCAGTATAAGTGATCATCCTATGAAGTTTGACAGTTGTAAAACTGTTAACAATATTAAAGTCATTTGATATTGACCTTTGACTTTGTGAGCCCAATATAGATATGGATCTTTTATTCAATATAGGCAATCATCCGATGAAATTTGAACACTGTAAGCCAAACGGAACTTATTTTATGCTCCAGAAAGTACAATTTTCAGTGTTGAGGTCATTGTGACCCTGACCTTTGATCTTATTACCCTAAAATCAATAGGGGTTATGTATTGGACATGGCTGTTCATTCTATAAAAATTACAGCTTTAAATTGATTAATACTAAAGTTGTTAAGCAGAAACTGTTTTCAATTTTAAGGAAATAGTGATCTTGACATTTGACCTTGTGACCCAAAAACTTATGGGTCTTCTACTCAATATTGACAATCAGCCTATAAATAATGAACAATTCGGGTCAAATGAAACTTAAGTTATTCTCCATAAATCACTATTTTCAGAGTAAAGATCATTGTGACCCTTACCTTTGACCTTATCACCCTAAAATCTTTAGGGATCATGTATTGGACTATTTGAAAAAGCATAAAATACGTAAAAAGTGAACTTGTTTACTTTTTTTTATTTTAATCTTTGTTTATTTATTTATTTATCTATCTATTTTTTGTGTGTGTGAGATATGGAAACTATTTCACCGGGTTGACCTACCAAATAGCATTCTTGCATATCGTTTCCGTTAGTTTACATAGGGGTGTCAGATGAGTCTGACTAGGTCTGATAAAAGATCTATAAAAACTGTTCAAACAATGAAATCTCCAGTTACTTTGAAACTATTTTTGGTTATTCTTACCCCGGCCGGGCGTTACAGTATATTAGAAAACAAATTATTTTGTAGGTTACGCAATAATATAGGTTGTGCAAATATGTATCTTTCATTTATAGTTCCGTTTATAGAGACATTAAAGGCAAAAGTTATCTTAATCCTGAATAAAAATAAAAATATTGATTACATGCAGTTTATCATTTATAAAACTGTTAATGCGTATACATAACGAATGGTAATCATAATTGCAGTAGCTCCACAAGTGTCCAAAATTAATCTGAAAAGTTAAGCACTCTCCATTTCCACTGTAATTCCTGTCTACATTCACGTCTGAAATGACAAAGCTTGGATGACATATAGTAGATGTGGTTCATTCAGTACTTATAATCATTGCTACATCTTATATAGACTCAACCTTTATGTTAGCCGGTATGAGAAATCAAAATAAAGATAATTAATGAAACGTTATACTACAAAGCACATTCCTTATCAAATAAGCCGACACTTTAAAAAACAAACTCATTATGAAAGGCATATTCATCTTAATATTTCAACAGAAAAAATGAACATCCACTTTTGATTTGATGCTTAACCCTTTCCCTCATGAGCATATTGTGAAAAATGGCCGTTTTCATTGAAAAGCCTCCTGTTACAAGTTCAAACTGCTTTAAAGCTTTGAAAAATGATCCAATACTTATCAAAGTTGGCACAAATGTTGACTGGACCATTGGCTTTGTAACGACATGCTCAGTCTTAAATTTCCTGTTACCATGGTAATGAGGGGACATCTCAAAATTGCCAAAAATCACTATTTGCCTTGATTTTTTTCCATCATAATTTATTTCAAAGTGCTGCAAATTCTCTTTGAGATAAAGTCAAAGTTTTTTCAGCGTTGGTTACACGTTACCTTATGGTCGACCTTGTGTCATTTTTAGCATCTCACAAGTCCAAAATTTTCTTGGCGATGAGGGGGACCTCAAACAGAAGGGGGCACATCCCTCTTCTGGCAACCCCCTGATGTATCTTTTGGATGGGGGCGGCGCCGAAAAAGTGCTCACTTTTTTAGCATCATTTCTCAAACGAAAACATGTGTTTTGGGCCCAAGTAGGACATTTTTTCACTATTTGAGGCCTAAAAGAGGGGGGTCGAAAATGCGTTGTTTCGCGTATATATGAGGTAAAGGGTTAACCCAACTTAAATGTATGTTTATTTTACCTATCTTCATCCTTTCGTACATTGACATATATTCACTTCCTCCACCCGCTATCCAATTATCATTAGGTGAAAGATCACATTTGCCAATTTGATGTTCTCATTTGGTTTTTCACTCATACAATAACACTATAACAAGAATTAGATAAAAGAAAATTATAATCCTATAATTCTGTTGACAAGCAGTTTAGAATTTACTGTCATGTATTGCAAATAACTGTCCATAACTATGAATGTATAAATCATATGACAAAATACTCCTAACAATTTGTTAACATGAACATCATTTTTATTTTTTATTGCTTAATGATAGTAAAACATAATGGGCATTGCCATAACAATAAATTCTCTACCTAAACAGGTAATGAGAGTATTGAAAATACTGTATTTGATGGTGCAATTGCTTAGATAGATTACCTTGTCCATGTTCAAACCAACATATGTATGGTTAGATTTATTGCACATCGAATAGCAAAGACCAGGTGAATTTCTAGATACCGGTAACAATATTGTGAGTTTTGCATTGTTTACAAATCCAAATCCTGAAAAACCAAATATTCTGCATCAAAATATAGTATAATAGTAGTTTGCCACGTTTTTCCCTTCTTTCACCTAACCTTTTGTGAATTTTTATGTAACTTGCTGAAAGTTAAGAACCTAAAAAGCCGATCATTAATTTATGAAAACAAAATTTATATCAGCTTTATTAATGTCATATGTTTATACAAAATGTCATTTTAAAATGGATGTATTTATATATTCATATTAGATTGCTCTGGTGTGCTATTTTTGTCAGATAAAATTTATACTAACCAATATACGCCAATGCTGTCTCTTTTTTATAATATCCAACCCACGCTTCCTCATTATCATTTAGGTCCGTTGGTACATTCACAATGAAAGTTGAATTGTTCACTTGTATGTTGGGTGTTGCAAAGTTACCTCTACTCTTTGCATCATGCCATGTACTGTTTTCATTTGAGAGAATATCAGCTGAAACTATGAGAAACAAATACGCACTTTGTTTTGATTAGAACTTAACTGATCTATATTAAAAAATGTTGCTGCTGGTTAATAAAATATCTTTTCTGTCTTCGAAGATATGGAAGAGCAGCATCATGACAGTATGCTATAATGTTATAAAAGTTTTACCTAAAAGTGAACTAAAGGTGCATCGGTGTGAGAACTTGCATGAACTACAGACTGAGAGCAAGCGCATACTTTCATGGTTTTGAGTTTTGATATTGTATTCCGCCGTAAGTAAGTTATGGTGAACCGGCAGTGTGTCGACTGAGATATGAGATTTTAGATTTAATGTCCTGTATTTTGACATTATATTTTTATCAATGTCTATAATAATATTTGTATTATACGACATGATGTCTAGGTATAAACCGATGTAACGATATCATTTTATGAATAAATTATTGTTTCAAAATATTAAATCGAAAGTATTTTGTAATTACGTGTTGTACACGTTTAATTATAAATAACTGCCTTTTAAAGGTATTAACGCTATTTATGATAAATGTTGACTTAGATGTCTCAAATTAAAAAAAAAACAACAAAACAACAAAATATTCAAAAGAGAACAATTACCAGTACAAGCAACACTCCATAGAGAAATCCAATATAATCCGGATTTGAGTGACATTTTAAAACTTTGAAACAAGGATTCAAGTTACATCGTAAGTTGATTTCTTCCTGATTTGAATGAATAAAGTATGCTCAGATATGAAAAGGAATATTTGAATAGCCAGAGTGAGATAAAATTTTGTTGATTTAAAATACTTCCGTGTAGTTGAAAAATTTGTGTGTGGCTATAAAAAGGATGTATATAATATCGGTGTAGGGAAAAACTTGTTGCCTATATTTAATCAAGCATTTGTAAATATCATGCACTTCATACACATGTCATAGAGACAGTATGGTTATAATAATTTTGCAATAAATGTACCAAATACATTGTGATTACTGGGCAGCAAGATGACAATTTGATATTAATATCAACATGATATTATAAGAGTAATATAGATGTAAATATTCAAAACGAAATAAGTTTGTTTATCTAACATGGTCGCTGTTTTTAACTACCTTAAATAGTAGAAGGACGACTGTGCGAGCAAACGTCACCTCAAAACAAAAATTAGTTGACAGATAACCAATGAAAATGTTATTGCGGTATTATATATTAACAAGACAACAGGCAATATACCGAAAAATAACAAAAACAAAAACTCGACGTGTTGTCGTCCTAGTAAGTGATTGTGTGACAATGAAATGTAAGATTACAAAGTAAGGCAAGAGAATCCTGTTTTACTTTTTTAAAATATCGCAACTTAACACTTTCAACAAAGACAAGAAGTTGGTTCATGAACATAATGAATAATTCCTTCATACTTCCAAAGGACCAGATCGGAGCGACCCAACGACAATGACTCAACCTAATTTCGTAAAAAGGGCAAATAAAAAAGTGTCGTTAAAGTCGGGAATGCCGTCATTTTATGTTGTGTGAGGCAAGCTGCCTTTCCTTCCTGCAATTCTTTTGAAAATGTAAGAGATGTTAAGATAGAAGAATACAGTTTATCTGTTCATATATACATGATTGTTCATCCCTTCAAGTTGTTTAGTACTTTAATATTTTTAATAATTTTTAAAGATATACTATGCTCATCCTTGAATACAATATTTTAATCACAGAAATTTGTTGAGATCTATAAAAGTCCTACTAAATATGTTTAACTTGAATAAAAGAATGTATAATATGGATTATGCGTTCCCTTTTACAGGTCGATTAAAGTGTGTCCTTTCTTAAAGAAACTGCCACTCTTTTAATGACACTTTATAATGTTCATATTGTGAACACCTATGTAATGTATGTAGAGTTTAAAACGTAACAAAATAATCAAATAAGTTTATTCTATATTTACAAAGATATTTGGTATCAATTAACAGAATTGTCTAACATCAAATTTGAGCATAGTATATCTTACAAAATAAACATATATTAATGGAGTAAACGCACTTATAAGAAAATTGTGTCTATATCAAATCAATCATTATTATTACAGAATGCTATTTAACCAACAGTTTATGTTATTTTTTTCTTTGTCTAAAATGAACATCAACACCCATATCATATCGGAAATATGAATATATTTTCAGTTTTCTAAATAATAATAACGAGGTGTGTGGTGTAAAGTAAAATAATTACATGTTAGTACGTCGTATTGTATTTGACAATCACACCACATAAAGGATTATATTATAAAAGTGTTCAGATTTTATTTCAGCTTTAAACTTTATAACTTCCTTGTAAATACGACAGGTAAAAGTAGTTAGTTGGTTAACAACTAACCTGCAGAAAATGTCGGATTTTACAGGTGTATTTTATATCTTCTTATGGATATCTTACACTCAAGGTAAATTACATTTTTATTTTATCGGTAAAAATATAAGCCATTTAATCATATTTATAAGCAGAGCCTGTTTTTATTATTTTCTTGAAATGCAGTAGGAAACGTTGGAAATATATGTTGTTCGTCTGCTTGTACATGTATATATGTATAAGATGAAACACACGTGACATTAATATAGCTTTAAAAAGTAAAACAAAGAAAGTTTGGAAAGTTTGAAAGGCTTAATAATAATCTGTAGAATCTTATAGCCTTAAAAAATTTAAAGCAGACACATACTACACAATCTTATCTACTTACGTTGTATATGTTCGCAAAGCATGTAATTGAGTACAATACATTCACCATTTTATTACCATGACATTTATATCTTCGTAAAGGAGACACCTGTTATGTATATTTTTTTGTTTTAATTATTATATCACTTTATAATTATAATAAGTTCACTAGGTACATATTATTTATTAACTGTATTACTTGTATATGTGTTGTAACCTTGTAAATACTAGATAATATCATAAAATACTCTAATCAGATATGATATTTTGAAGGAAATATAAGTACTTATCGTCACACTCTGAACATAGTTTAAACATATATTTTATCTGCAGTTGAGAGCGATTGAATTTTTAATTCATGTTGACAAAACCTTTTGAATGTTATGTTTAATATTCAATGTAAACTGGTATGCAATTTGCTTTTAAATAAGGCAATTATTTGCACATATTCATGTACTTATTAATTATCGAATATGCTTTATCATTCGAACTCTCGCAATCGTAATGTAAAAGAAGTTAGATTACGAAAATTCGATGGTTCAACTCTAGTTATCCGCTTGTGCCTGACCCTATTCATTGAGGTCTTCCTCAGAAATGCAAAATATTACCGTTACTGTATGGATACACTGTAAACCCCAATAAAAAAACAACGAAAAAGTTTATAATTATGTGAACAGTTAACATTACTTCTATAATTAATTAATACGTACACTAAAATGTTGCATGATTTTTATTTTCTGTTGTCTTTCGCTAGACGATGTTTTTTGCATTCCCTATTTGTTTCTTTTTTCTTTACTTTCAATTTCAACTTATTTACAACAACACTCAGTTTGTATTATATACAATAGCATGAGCAAATATAATATGCAAAAAACAAACATATAATATGTAAGTTATTACATGAGATATTGACACCTAAGATAGGTTCATTGCATCGATCATTCAATGTTATTGACATTGTTTTAGTTATAGGATAATATATTTACAAACTTAAATAATTATAATTTGACAAATAGTATACTGTAAATTTGAGCGTTTAGCTATGATTTTATCATTTTTTTATTTGAAGGTACTATTTAAGTGTGTAGAAAGCGAACACCTTTAAGAGTGTAAACTTAAATGAATTAAGTAGGGAAACATATATATTTTTATACAAAAATGAATTATTGCTACTTTTTTTTAATGATAAACATTAATATTGTGTGCATAATTTTATTATTAAATAAAACTTCTGTATACCGCCGGAATCATTGTTTCGTATCAAATTAATCGACAAATTTCTTCACGTTACTTGAACAATTTTTAAATAAATGTAATCTACATCATAATAAAGAGTTTTTTTTTATGGTAAGCATAAATATACATATACACTTAAAGCTCATTTATTACAAGGTAAATCTAATTTAAAAAAAGGTCATTCAAGTACGTATACGCTAAATTAAGATTATAATAAACTGCATATGTTCCTGCATATTTAACGTATGTTCAATGTGTATAGAAGGTAATATTTGCATTAATACCCTAGGTATTGTATCAAATGTTAAGTGTTTCAATTTTCAAAATAAAGTCAAACGTGGCAAAGCTTGATTATGTTTGTGAAAGGCATTTTAAGAAAAGAATATCCAAAAGAAATTGCAACAACGCTAAAGCCAAATATCACATTGTTGCAGTACAAATCCTGGACAAGTTGTGTTAAAATATTTTACATTGTGGAAAATAAAGTGTCAATTTAGATAGCCGAAAATACGAATAATAAAATGTATCGCCGTCGTCTTTATATATTTATATATACATCAAGTGGGGATCACGCCGATCGTTACCCAAACAAACAAGATGGATGCAGCCGAAAAGTCTTCTCTGAAATTCGTGGTGTTCTTGTGTAAAGTTACATATAATAACCCTCTCCACAATTTTCCGGGCACACAAGATTTTATTTAATGATGCTTTTTCTCGTTTTTCTTTTGAAATTCGCGTCACTTGATTCCAAGCGAGAGAATTTTCCAACAGTTTGATCGTGATAACGCACGGCTTCTTCTTTCAAATTCACTGTTTCTTTCGCATATATATTAACTGAAACCACTGACTTTAAAAAGTTGTATGTCGTCATTTAAGCATCTATGCCCGTTCTGGCTAGATTTGAATCTTAAATATTAATATTAGTGCATTTTCCGGAAATTACGTATATAGCACAAAATATCAATGATAACGTACAGCGCATTTTTCTCCTTGGTGGATTTCCATTTGTCCAATCAGCTGATAATGAATTATTTTTTTGTAGGAAATGATAGATATCTGAAAAAATGTATGTCAGATCAGAAATAAATAATTGAACAATGCTGAACCATCGGGTATAAACATCTTTCTAGGTGGTGGCAAAATAGATATTTGTTGTATCACACATGTTTAGTTTGAGAATATCTTTTGTATAAAATGCTGAATGGATAGAAACAGCCTCCACTTTAAGGAAGCATTTGTGTATTGTTGTCTTCACATTTACTTTCGTCAGTGTTGTGCAATAATTATGGTCTTATCCCCTTATCAGAAAGAAGAAACGCATTCAGCAGAGCAAAAATGTTTAAAAGGTATGGACGCTTGACATATTTTCTTTTCCAAAGAAAAGCCTAAAATCATTTCTAGGAAATTCCGATAAGTAACCTTCATATTTGAACCGCGTCAAACACAAACAAAACGAAAAAATGATTGCGACAAGCTTACATTCAGAAATATAAATCAGATATAATTAGGAAATACACAAGAAATACATTGAGAATCATATGTTTGTGCTATTCTCATCCCAATTTGAGTGAAAAGCGTTTAAACGCTTTTCAATTTTGGGCCATTTTTCACTATTATAATAATTATTCTGGAAAAACGGAGCGAACTAATGATCTGAAATTTTGCACATAAGTTATTATAAGTATAGATCTACATCAAATGGAGTAATAATCTCAAAAAAATATTTCCAGTCCCGTCATGTCAAAAATCCTCAGTGGAGTCCCTTTAAGAGATTTTTTAAATTATCACAACTTGTTATGAACGTAAGACGTGTTGGTAAGCTGTTCCATTCCTTACAACCATTAAATACATATGTTTTCTTTCCGAAAACCTTAACTCTTGGAATAGAATTACTGTAACTATATCTAAATCGAGTAGAATAAGAGTGTGCCTCATTTGCAATTTGAAAATGCTCATTTAAATAATTAGGTGCACTACTGTTGTATATCTTATGAACATGACCAAGAATAAGAGTGACTATTTTTACAAACGCAGTTTTATGAAGCACTATGAAAAAGAGTAGACGACTATGAACGGAATTCGATATACATGTAGTATCGATATGTGTTCTTCAATGAAAATTAATATCTTCTCCATTGGATGACAAATTAAGTTGGACACTAATTTAATATACATATTTGAAACTAAGGATCAAGTTAAAATTTTGGCGACACTTTATCTTAAATAATGTTCAAACCACCAAAAGTGGGATAACTGCTCTAAATTCGAGTATGATATGCAAGAAAACATATCATTCGTGATTACGTATCGGATTAAAATATCCATCCCTCGGGCAACTACACAAGGGCTGGAAATTAGCAAGCCTCGTTACAACCCAATGCGCAAGCGCCCTCGGATCGGATATTACTATCCGATACGAAAACACATAGCAGATATTATTATGCAAACACTTTGTACATGTTATATTCAGTTTCTTTCAGTTTATTCAAAACTAACTGATATAAAGAAAATACATTAAGCAGAAAAATGCGCCGTACCTTATCATTGATATTTTTGCGCCATATACGTTATGATCATTCCGGGAAATGCCCAGATATTAATATTTACAGCGGTTATTCTAGCCAAAATGGGCATGAACGCTTAGATGACAACATATTACAACTTTTTTAAAGTCAGTGGTTTCAGTTAATATACATATATGTAAACGAAACAGTGAATTTTAGTATAGAAGCCGTAATATATTTATTTAAACTATTATGGACCTGTTGAGTTAACGGGTCTACTCATATGCTCGATATAAAGAACGGATTGGCACTCTTTCCCTGCCTGTATAGCTGAAATGGCACAATATTATATAAAAAGTGTCAATAAATAAATAGGAAAACAATTGATGCAAAAGATAAAAAGCGCCGGGACGTAATACCAGAGTAAAATATTGAACTAATCTGGAGTCTGAGCGTTACAAGACTCCATTCGAAATCTAAATTATTTCAATATTCAACATTGAGCGTTAAAGCCATATAGACCCGGGACTTCGTAGAGTGTCGGTTATGTTAAGTCCGACGACATTAGAAGGCCTTATAATATCCCGCAAATTTGCAATCTGTGGATAAGCCTTTCATTTGGTTTTATCATATCATATTACACAACTAAAACTCGATACAACATAATATAATTGATATTGTCGTAGACTAAATGTACAATTTATAGCAAGATTAACATGTTTTAATTGCAATCTTTTCATAAATGGTAGCTATGTCATAAATCTCTGTACATGTCATTTGTTTTATATGTAGTATTTTAATAGAACTGCAATGTCTTTTCAGCGATGTACCTTGTTTCAGAAGACAAGTCAATGTGGAGCGGGAACAAAAAATGTCGATTCGCTGACACAATACAGTTTGACTTTTCTGGTGACAAGGTTACAGTTAATATTTCTAACATTGACGTTTGGGACAATGAAAAGATTTGGGTTGGATACTTCAGAAGATACACGACTTTTGTATATACTGGTATGAATAAACCTTATCTGATTACTGTCGTTAATAGATGTAACTCAACTCTATAGTAAATAGGAATTAACTTAAAATCCAATAAGTACCATTGATTTATATGTAAAGGTATTAGTCTTACTGATCATTATGCTACGAGGGGTGATCAAGAATTACGTAGACTAGTTCAATATCTCATTTATTTGTTTGACAAACGTACATAAACTTATATCACATGAAAGTATGTTTTATCAACAAACAACATGCAATCTTGTTTCACAATATGTTTACATAATTCGGAATAATAAACCATGAAAATGTGTCACTATCGCGGTACCGGCTCACGTCGTCAAAAAACTCTTGACGTCAGCGACGTCGCAGCGTCGTAAGTGTTTAAGGAAAGGTGTCAACTGGCACATGACATTCACTCTTTTTCAAAGTACGAGCCAGAACATGCAATGCAACGTTCGTGCCTCTTAGGCCACTTAGAGAAGAATATAGTTACAAATGTGTATCCGTGCATTTTATTGTTTATAACAAAACGTGCGAAATCATAAATTAGCGCGGATAATTTGAATTTTTATTTTCGAAACTGATTAGGTTGTAGAGTGATTAAAACAAAAAATATAAGTTAATGCACATAAAATACCTTTCGCATGTTCAATTTCTTGGTGATAATTGTGTACATGGTTCCATAGCTCATCCCAGTAACTTCTGATATCTCTCGAACGGTCACTCTTGCGTCCTCCTTGATCATATCTTCAATTGACGTCACATCTGACGGCTTGACGCTCAACCTTCTTTCACGCCATTCATCATCTTAATGTGACTTCCGCCCTTCGGAGAAACGGAACCACTAAAAAACGAGTGCTCGAGAAACAGCATTCTCTCGTCTGGTACTCTGCAGCTTTTTATATGTGTTTGTAGGCGTTTCACCTATTTCCATGCAGAACTTTATGTTGGCACGCAATTCAAGGCGTTCTTGTGATGTCATTTTTAACGTAGCTGCGTAACGGACTACTATGGTTTAAACGTTGTTTATTTTCCTTATCTAACGTCAAATGACGACAATTTTTTATGCGTCGTCATACAAACGTCCGAAAACATATTCCCGTATTTTTTGTTATTTTGATAAACAGTGTCGAAATTATAATGCATTGAATAAAGCAATAATATATAAAAATAACACCTGGGCCGGTAACGCACTAATATCGTTACAATTATGCTAGTTATTCTGCTCTAAGTAATGCATGACTGATTTACAGCTCCTTGTAAATGGCAAAGAGATAGGTCACGACAGTGATATATATAAAAATATTTTATATGGGTCCGTTTCAAAGATATTGAACCAGTCTACGTAACTCTTGATCACCCCTCGTATTATATACTATTCAGAAATTACAAGCTTAAACGTTTGACAATAATTACAATGTTTCGAGAAAGACTTTTTTAAAGGAACAAAAATATCGCATATCATATACTGACTCGTGGTGATGTATATCGCAAATAATTATCATATACCGACGCGTGTTGATAAAAGATGATGGGTTAGATATAGGTTTTATACATGCTATATAATGTTTTTATTTCGCGTACGTCTTGGCTTAATTCAAAGTTACTATTAACAAACGAAAAGTAAGTAATTAACAATTTGAACAACAAATAAGACATCAAATGTTTTATTCCTTTTTTTTCTTTTTTGTGAGGCAATGGTGTTTGTGGGACGACTGTCGATGTCTATTAAGTTTTGCTGTACTGCGTTATCATGTTATATTAGGTATTTTAAAACTAATTGTATATGAAATATATTGCTCAATAGGCTGCGTGTCTGTCAACGATATATGGGAACATAGAGGTCAAGTTCAAATAAAAAATTCGAATCCAGGAAAATGTTTTTCTGCATGTAGAAACAATCGTTACATAGGCATTACCGGAGAAAAGGTAATTTCTACGTTTATTCATTTGAAAAAGAAGCATAAGGAAATTCATCCAGTTATATTTTTATGTAAGATTGTAAGTTTCTCAAATAATATGCTTTATGGTAGTCCATTCTTACGACATAAAGCTAAATTTTACGAGAATTTGTCCTTAATAATGAAAACCCACCAGACAGAACTTCATAGTGATATACCAAATAAAACTAAACCGAGGAAGTTCTAAATCGTTGGACTTCATTAATAATTGATGCTTTCATAACCTCTGATCCCCTTTCAAAACTCCATTTTTTTTAGTTCCGCTAATAGTTTTCTCGTTTAGGGCATTGTTTTACCTGAGGACCATGTGCAGTTTTTCATGGAATGGCACTTACGTATACGTGTTACATTGAAGGTTCCATGAAAACCGCCATATGAACACATCTGTGGATGTTTCAAAATTCAAAATTGTACCAGTTCAAGTTAAATTCTGCTTTAGCCGGTTCTAGGGGGACGTGGACGGTAGTCTGCACTTGACAGCACCGTCCATGAACAGGCTCAATAAAACCGACCCTCTAACATTTTCAATTTTGCCGTATTGGGCTTTCTTTAGAGATTCTAATTTTCTCTGTTTTTTACACACACATTGTAGCAAGCAAAACCAAAATGAAAAGCATGTTGAGAAGATATAGATGAATAAAGCTAAATTGAGGCATACTTTCAATTTTAATATTTTTCGTTTAAAATTGTTCGTCACATCGTAGATGTGTTTCATGTAGTGCCAATATTAGAACATTTAGCAATTTCTGTTATGGAAAATGCAAATGCTTAAAGACTTTTCGGGAGTTTTTATAAAGACGTAAAGCTAAAATGAAAACAGTTCAATAATTTTTTTTTTATACTTGGCATGTTGTCAGGATATAATACGCAAACCTGGGAATGGGAATGGAACACATTATTCGACTTAGCATTATGCCAAGTTCTTTACATAGCTAAAAAGCTTAAGAAGTCATCAACAACACGTACTTCCACCATCTCCAAGCTTTCAAACTCAAAATTCGGCCACAAATTTATACTACAATACATGTACACGCATCTCAAGATTGAAACAAAATGCCAGCAAAACCTTAGGATTCATCAAACTGGATATAAATACAAAAAAGTTAAATAACTAGCTTATAAAGACTTTAAGTCCCTTTATTCAAACTGAAAAAAATGGAACAGAAATAATTGACGGAATTGATATCATAATGTATTCTGATCAACAATATGAAGAAAAATATAATCCAGAATTAAATCAAGACGTATGTATAAGTTACCTTCCCTTGAAGTGACCTTAGAGATGAAAATAATTCAAGGGCAGATATCGATGACTCTAAAGATCGGTGAAACTAATCTTTTTCGATTTAAATATTTCTTTCATCATAGAGTAACAACAAACCAAGTATATATGAATCTATATGAAAACTCCTGAAACGTTTTAAGCTGTACAGGGCAACCTAAAAAAACAACAAAGCGACAACAGTTCTTTTTTCTTTCAAAAAAGTAAGACTTTGCAATAAGTATAACCTTGTAATCACAACATCTCCCAACCAAATGTTTTTCTCCCAAAGTGTGTTGCTGTGTAGAGGCTGTTCGTAGAGACAACAACAATTTTTATAATATTAACAAACTATTTTGCAAAATACAAATTTGAAAACTTTTGAATCAATCTACTTAGGAAAGAAGTCTTATGCGATACCACAACTGTATTTAGAACGAACAACCTAAATGTTAAACACGCGTTAGTTGAAACAAAGGGCCAGTTTACTCATATTGGATATTATTGTTTTTTCGGACATTTTTCATTTTTGTTTCATTATTTCAGTGTTATTGCCTTGGTGACGGTTTAACAAACTCTACATTTGATTTACACGTTTATTGTGAATCAAGCTGTACATCCCCCAAAGTTGCATGTGGCGGAAACCATAGTGGTGACATATATTTGTCAGTATATCGAACCAGTCTCAATGGTAAGAATTAATGTTCTTTGCTATTTACGAAACGTCGAAAGTGTCCTTTATTTCACAACAATGCATTCGCTCGCCGTTCTTATTTCTTTTCTGTATCATGTGCATGAACGTAGTTGCTATATGTACGCTTCGTTCGTTCTAACATCCGAGACACCGGAATTATTTTTTTATAATTTATACAATAGAGATCAAAAAGAATTGTACCGAATGTAAATCCACGTTTTCATATTTTGTCTTCTCATAATATTTTTGCAAAAGCTGAATTTATCGTCAGTGCTTCAGCAGATTGAAATATCTTACAGCTAACACTGATTTCTTTTCCTTTCATCGCATTTACCTGTAAGAATTGATATGTATATCTTGATGATTTGGAGTGTTTTATGGTACAATACTTCACGTTATGTCTTACAAATGTTTGTAAGTAATCACTCGGGTATCAGTGATGATATTACTACTTATCTAAACTCAATACCGTGCTATATTATAATAGTACCTCAACACACCCAAGCTCAACACGTATGATCTTTATTAAAAACCAGGCACTGCCTATTAAGTTGTAATGGTTTCTCATATATTCAACACAGCGACGCTCCTCTCAGAGTCCAAATGGCCAGAAAGAGCCTTTATATATTTATAATTTTTAATTTATGCCAAAGGTATGCAGAATAATAATAAAAATTAATAGAAATAAAAAATACGAGACCATCGAATAAATATCAATTTAAGAAACAAACCAAGTCATGGAAAAGCGTTTTGTTGAGCACGAACTTTAACAAGTATTGCCTAGTATTGGTTGGTTCCAGGGACGGATTCGTGTGTATTTATAAGCACATGAATATAGCATCGAACAAAATCGAAAGCTTATTAGTTGTGAAACTTATTAAATTTCAAGTTTTGAACAATTCTACATTAAAAGTATGACACCATTGTAATTGATTTTAGTTCAACACAATAACACTTTTTCAAGATATCAAAACATATTGAACACTTGAAACAGTTTAAACTGGCTTAAATGGGACGTCAACAAAACATGAACATTTTCAAAAACTCATTCAAGTACTAACAACCAGCCAAACTTTACGGATGGAGTTTCAAAAATTTGAGGGTGGGTACAAAGTTTGTGTGGGTTTTTCAAATTCTAAATGGGACACATACGTGTATAAATAGTTGAGAAGCACTGATTAAAATGAAATTACAACCATGTTTATGTCAAACAATTATATATTTTTTGCAACACTTAGTCACCTAGTTACCCACAATTTAAAAATTGGGCTTTGCTGACATAAATTGCAACGATGTGCGAAAAATACTGTGAGTATTCATTTTGAATACATACATCATGATAGTGGTCTCATTTTAAAATTGAACTTCAATAGACACGGAAACAATTGCTTACTGACAATTTGTTTTCTTATTCAAATGGACATTCAAGCTCTAAAATAAAATACTGCGTAAAACTTGGACGGTTACTTGCACTTTCCAGTACCGTCCATGAACAGGCTCAATCAAACCGAGCCTGCAACAATTTCAATTTTGTTGTGTGGGTTCTGTTTTTGTCAATTTTAAAGTTTACAGTATAATTATTGTCTCTCATTGAACAACTAATCAGAGTGACTGTAATGGCTATTGCATAGGAAATTGACCTAAAAGTACACGAAAAAAATCTATGCTTATCGAATAAACTTAATAACGATGAATTTGTCTTATTTCAGTAATATTCAAACTGTCGAATACATACCAATACAATTTGGACATATACTTATATTAATATTAAGAAATCCGTAGCTCATATATTCTTTCTGTCATTTGTATTATTATATGACGCAAAACAATTGATTTTCACTTTTAAAACAGGATCAAATCATTTTGTTTTTACTATTAACCTTTTAACTACAAAATTGTTCAAAATCCACAAAAAGTCTTTTTTACAAATTTTAATATATTTTCTAGATAAAGCAAGATATGTGAATAGTAACTCTACGTATTAATCATGAAGCGTTGATAACGAATAACGCTTTCTTTTGTTTCAGATTCTTTCATTAACGATAAAAATTGTTTATCATTTGATCCAAAAGGTAGGACATATATTTGGAAGAAATGCGCCGGGAAATCTTCCAGTTTCTTAGAAATGTGTGCCACAGGTATGTGCATATTGAAGCATGAATTCTGTCAAAATTTCCTTTAAACGGTTAGACTATTTTATCTCATTGACATAATTAAGATTAAAGAATACCATATTGTAAATACATAGATGCATATGAGTGTTGTTTGTATTTGTTTTTATGTTTGCTTATGTGGTTCTTAAATCATTCTGATATTAAAATTCAATTTTGCCATTTGGGTGCCTGTAATGTTCTTATTTAAGACATGTTATTTATGATTCATACATGCTTCCGGAGAAAGTCTAGTTTGACTTACTGTAAAAGGTACAGGGAAGAACTGAATAAATAAAAAACATTGTGTATTTCAAAGTTTACGAACTTGTGATTTACATGTGACTAGACATAGTCATAATAATTGATGAATCTATATAACATTTTAGGGAAGCTAACATTTTGTATCTACATTTAGTACTAACTCTGCATTCAGATTGATTAAATATTTCAAACTGTTTTAGCAATCATTTAAATGATTTTGAAATTATATGGAAAAAGTGCTTGATATAGAACAAAAATAGAATCTTTGAGAACCTTGGAGACTCATATGCCTTTTTATGGAATGTCGTAAATGTGCAACATAGAAGGTTCTAATTTCAAAACAATTTTACCATTTCATAACAAATGTTGAATCCTGCTCAAACCGGAACTAGTAGGCGTGGGCGGTAGCTTGCACTTATCAATGCATTAAGGGATGCCTTATTCTACATCCACGCAATTGTGTTGACTTGGCTAGATATTTTGTCAAAGTGTTTTTACTTTGTATATATATCCTGATATGCTCGTGTTTAGTGATTTAAAATGACGAATTCAAAATTGAACTGGCTTTCAATAACATGTGTTTTTTTAATAACTGTGCATGAGATCTTTTATACTTATTTGACAATAAGTAAAATTAATAAACGTTAAAAATAAGAACGTAGGTCAATAAGGAAATGTTCCTTTTAATATGTTTTTACATTTCAGAAAATCACGTGTTTGTGAACACCTCATCATACCAGAATTGGTTGAGCACAGTTAATAAATGTTTCAAAAACAGTAGCAGACCAACCGATTATTCTAATTCAAATCTTTTGAAAGTGGACTCAGGATCTGAATTCTGGACCGGAATCATAAGTAGCAAAGTTATTTACACAACAGGTATAAAACTTCCTTAAGAAAGAGTACTCAAAATATTGTTCTTGAAATGACAATGAAGCTAACGAAAGTATGTATTAAGACGAGTTTTAACCATAACAAAATAGAATAAGGTATTTATTTTTGAGTTTCATCATCGTTATTTGAATTCTTTATATTTCAAACATTTCTGCAAAAACTTCTATGCGGTAAAAAAACATGTTTAACTTAATATGACACTGTACTACAATAGAGTTATATTTTGGTCTTTATTTATTTAATCCAGCTAAACAGTTAAATCGGCTATGAATAATTAAAAGCAAAGCTATCGTTATACCGTATGCCTATATTTTTCATAGAGCATTTTCAATTCTCCTTATTATTCCTATTAATTAAAATGATTTATATAATTCAATGACATTTTGTATTATGACTAAGATCCTAAATGAAACGCATCAGCAAAAGGTAAAAATGGGCACATTGAATATTTTTTTATTTAAAACCAAAACACACATTGTGAAAATTGTGCAGCTCGACTAGGACTCGAGCATTCAAGTAGCGTTGCATGTTTTTTATATTTAAGATATTAAACGATATTCTTACGGGCAAAATCACATAACAATTTTGAAATTCTGTCGCTTACTCTGCAAATGATTATATCAAGTTTACGTGGTCAGCTGATATTCACTTTTCGCGTCAGAATGTTGAACGTCTTTTTGTAATAGACATAAAACTATAAACGTTTAAGAAAATAAATTAAAATCAATGTTGCAAGAAACACACATTTATTATTGACGACGAAGAGAATCATTGACAAGTGAACAAAGAAAATAACTTAATCACGTGTTTTGGGCCACCGGTTTAACGGTCGTCCGGTTTTAGTTGACCTAACCAATATAAGGCGTTTCTTCAGTTTTACTGGTGAAAAATATCAGGCGCCGCTTCGCGCATTTCTTCAAACACGAGCAAGCTATTTAGTATTGTCACCGAACTTCATTTAGACACCTGGATAGCTTTCTAACATGAAGCTACCAGAATCCTCGACAGGCTTCGAGCCCATAATATGGGATGCGAGAGGTTTAGAAATCGGTGAACCAAACGACTCGACCACAGAGACCCATCACCTAAGTTGCCTGACAGTTTAGACATTTCACGCTGTTTATTAATTGAAAATGGTGGATATAAATAGGAACTTCCTTGGTCCACGCGTGTTATTTGGTGTTCATGCCAAGTAAATTATAACATTGTAAGGAATTATGTGACTATGTGATTATAATTTTTGACTATTTAGATATTATACACTTTTTTTCTTTTGGATGAGCATAATGTAACTCTGAGTTAAGCATGTTATTTTCTTTATGTGACTAAACCAGTTGATTATGAATCAAAGTAAAACGAACCATTTCAAATAAGAAATACTTCTGACTTCAAAGTCATATCCTGTTTGAAATGTACTTGGGGTAGATTAAAATGATGTTTTGTCAATGAAAAATAGAAAATAAAAAGCTCGTCTGTCTCAAATACAGTTTATTAATAATCGATACTGTCTCTCATATATTATTTTTAATGAAGTCAATAACTTTTATAGATGAACATATACCACAAACAGGCGAAATTGAGTTTGGGTACTTGAAGCGAACTGACGGAAACATATATCAGCTAAAATTTAAAAAGGATGACAGTGACGAAAGATATCTTTGCAGTACCGGTAAGTCAAAGAAATGATTTGAGCACTTATGTGTAAACGTAAATTTTGCATATATTCGATGAATTTTTTTTTAATATTTGTCTATGTGTGTTTCTGTATAGGGAGCATAATAAAAATGTGCATCAAGTTACACTAATTTAATACCTATTTGTCATTTGTGTATTAAAAATGTAAGGTGAGCTTATACATTCAAAATTTTAAAAAGTTTGTATGTCTCATTATATTTCACATCAAAAAAGCTAAACTATCTTGCATACATTTACACACATACATTTCATTCCATCTAATATACTTATAAAATAAAATTGAATTAAATTGCGATACAATATTTTAATTGTTTACATTTCTTTTCTTTTTTTTATTATATATGCTACGATATACTTGTACTCGAATGAATGTCGCTGTTTTTATAATGATTACACTTTATAAGGCTTATATAACTTTTCAAAATATGTTTTGCAAATAGTTGATACGCCAACATCTATGTAAAATTCATAAAAAATGATTAATATTATCTTTAAATAATTTTAGAGCAAACTACAGATAAAACGACTGGAAATGTATTGATAAATAGCAAATTAACTACAAAAGCACAACAAGTTATGGCAGAACAGAAAGGTAATAACGTTACTATATACTAGTACATCAAACCATTATTATAAAAGATTTAAGTAATAGAAAGAGCATCGAAACACGAGGCTATCTGATTTGTACGAGGGGGCGTAGCCCCCCCCCCCCCAGTATAAATCAGATTGCCGAGTGTTTTGACGTTCTTTCTCTTTTGTTTCATAGTCAAAAATAAAAAAACGTGTCTTTATGTCACAATATGAAACCCAAGAAAATGGTAACCAATTAACGAGCATCGGAATATGATATTTCTGTCGCTTTCCCTTTCTCTGTCGTCACAATATGTAAACCCCAGCAAAAATGAGCCAATCAATGGACAGGGTAACTAATACCTGCACTCTAGTTAACGCAATGTGCATGTATATGTATACGATTTAAGTCTGACACATTTTCAACAGAAAAGTCCCCAAACTATGATACAAGCCACAAATGGAACACTCAATACAATGGGATAAATTTTAAACGACTGAAAATGTATTGATAAATAGCAAATTAACTACAAAAGCACAACAAGTTATGACAAAACAGAAAGGTAATAACGTTACTATATAAATACGGTCCTTTTACCGAAAAGTAGCATCAAACCATTATAATAAAAGATTTAAGCCAAAAATGGAACACTCAATACAATGGGATAACTTTTTCAATAAGGTATGATTAGTGGATAAAAAGGTCCACACCGTTATCTTATTATATTTCCTTACTTAAATCCATCCTAAAGACTCATAGATTAATATCATACATCTCTTTTCAATATTATTCTTTCCTCGTTTAAAATCATTTCTATCCTTTTTCAAAACAAAAGATTCAATGCAAGCAGTGTTTACATGAAAATTATTTTGATAATTTGACATATTTATATGATATAGAGAGGTACGGAGTATCAAATAATACATCTTTTTAGAACTTTCAATTTACGTCTCTTCAGGATCGACTACAGGTGTCCCTGTTGGGATCTCAGTGGCTGTTGTTTTTGTTATTGCTGCAGTTATTATAGTCATTGTTGTTTTGAAACGACGGTAAGGCTTCATCTTTTATGTCAACTTTAAACTGTTTTATATGTCATTATACTTTAATTTTAAATGTCAGTTTAACTTAGCAAATGAGATAATAAAGACATCTTTAAACCTCGAATTTTTAGGTGCGCTTGAACATATCTTGCTTTAATCAAAAATTGAAACGTTTTAGAAAAGATCATTCTAAGATTGTTACATAATGTTTGTGTTTTTTAATATTTTTCTTTAGTATTTTAATACAATATTAGGCTATTTTTGTTTTACTGTTTGGGACATAATATTACGATTAAAATCAAATCATTGCATTTTTACATTTTCAGAGGTCTGATTCCAAACATGTGTTACAGAGAAGCTGCTCCAAGTAAATCTATAAAATACACCACTGATATAGCCGTAGTCAGCAACAATAATTACGAAGAAGTCAAAGATTCTCCGTATGACAAGAGTAAGGGAACTGCAACACAGATTGGCATGGACAACTCTGTTGATTCTCCTGAAGACAGTGGACACTATGCACATACCTACTTTGTACTAGAGGATAATGCAAATCACTCTAAACCAAAAAATAGCATCGCAGTTTCAAGCAAACATTTTAAAGGAAAAGACGAAGGCAATGTGTACAACACATTGAACTCAGATATAAAGAACAAAAACAACGTTGACAACACTTACGACACAAGCGAGACAGCGGTCAGAAAATTGAAAACTCAGCTTAGTAAAGAGTTTGATGGACAAAAGGAAATTGTGTTTAACGACAGGGATGAAGATACTTACAACCATATTAACGGAAAACCTTACAACAAGAACAACACTGATAATGTCTATGGTGTCAATGGAAATGATTATGGAGATATTCAAAAACGTTCCGAAAAAGGGACTGACTCAGAAGATACGTACAATCGTATAAACTAAACTCAGTTTCAGACCAACGAAAACGTTTGATTAATTTGAATTCTCACCACTAATAAGTTACTTTTGACCGTGCTTGATCGAAAAATATAAAATATATGTTCTAGTCGTTGAATGATTCAATACTCGGGTCCCCTCAAATCGTCCCCGACGGATACAATATGATCACAACCATTATCTTTACAAAATGTATAGAAAGAACAACAGAACAATTTAGTTATGAAATAACGTTTGATGTGTTGCAAGCGACTTGGTTAAAGCTGAACTCAAAGAACGGGATAAAGCATGAAATGAATATAAAGAGTACGTGTTCCAAATGATCAAATATGTTTTAATCAACAAACTGGTTGTAAATATCATAAACCTAAACACTAAGAAACGAATAATCGTTCCTCCAAACTATCTTTTACATAGCCATCCTTAGCTTTTTCACTTTACCAACGACCATGTCGTTTGCACATTCTATCCTTAACGCCTTTATTAGCGGCAGCGGTTCCACCGCCTGACCTTAACGAATGTAAACAATATTTGTTAATATCTGTTACAAATGGAATTAAATATCGCAAAGTACTATACGACATTGCTCTGTTAACATTCCTACACTTATAACCATTTTTACTAGCGCTCAGATTACAAAAAAATGAACATGAAGAATCCATAGAAATTTCCAGATACTTTTCTATATTACTAACTGGACATAATTTCATGCCTGTTCTTGCTATTATAACCCAAGATCCATCTCTAAACTGGTCTGTTTTGCTCGACTCAATAAAAATTTTCATATGTGTAATTGAAAAATATAGATCACATCTTTTTATACTTAACAGTTCAGAACTTCTTAAAATCCAGAAAATGAAGTAGAAAAGCACAAATAGTTCTCTGTGACTTAAGATTTGTATCACCATATAAGTTATCAAAAAAAAGAAGAAAGTAATTCTACGGTAAATACGCTTTGCTGATTGTAAAACATTTTTACCATACTAGAGTCAGTAGGTGAATCTAAACCATTTATCTCGTGAATCCATTTTATTGAATAAAATGCTGTCTTTATAGGCTTTAGAGTGAAAGAACTTATTAAAGAAGTCAAATATATGGCTAACGGTAACTCACTGGCGGGCAAAATGTCCCCATTACCCCGATCATTTAACATGGCCCACTTAATCCATCTATTAAACGCACTATTATAATTTTTGCACGTGCTCAAGGCTCTAGAATGTTGAAGTATCCGTGGCAATAGGGTCACCCTTATACACCAGCTTAACCGGAAGCTCGTCTATATCTTTTTATGACACTGAAAAAATAATCGTAAAGAAATATTTTAAATTAAATATTCTAATCAAAATAGATGAAGCATGAATATAGAAATCAATGTTTACATGTATAAATCGATATGAATGTATATTTTACCAATAGAACATTATTTAATATAGAAATTAAAGTTTATAACATAATGAAATAAAAACTCCAGATATAAGGAATTGTTATAAACATAGAATATGATTCATTGTACAATACTTAATCGTACATAACTGCAGTGCTGCAGTAATCTACATAAAAACTACATGTTCATTGAGGCAAAACTCGTGTTAATTGACTACTATCATGGCTGCAAAGCCTATATACAAAATGTAATACATAACTAATATCATGATTGTAGAACCTTATGTACCATTTGATAATTATCATGATTGATAAGTCGAACTATTATTCCGAGTACAAAACGTCAAAAATAATATAAATGTCAATAGCTATACTCTGCAAAGCGCGAGCCATGCCTAACTATTAACTTTGTTGCAAAATATAGCTGCAAAGCCTAACTACTATCATGGCTTCAAAGCCTTGCTATTATCATGGCTAAAAAGCCTTACTATTATCATGGCAGCAAAGCCTTACTATTATCATGGCTGCAAAGCCTTACTATTATCAAGGCTGCAAAGCTATACTATTGTGGCTGCAAATCCTTGCTATTATCATGGCTGCAAAACCTAGCTATTATAGCTTCAAAACAATTCGATACAAAATTATTAAAAAAATAATTATAACAAACAAATAAAATCTGTCTAGCTTGGTATATCTCTATAGATTTATTTAAATGATATTCTTATAGCAAGCATATTGAAATGCAAATTCTGATTTCCAAAAATTCTCTTGCCATTTTTACAACATGTATAACATTCTTTTTCCGTGGGCAACAATATCCAGTCAACCACGTTCTTAACGAATTTCCCATTTGGGCACAGAATAGGCCAAACTCTAGCTGAAACCCAATGGGGAATAATAACAACACCTTGAACATTATCTATGTACATTTTTTAAGAACCTCCGATACTATGGATATCGGTGGAACAAAAAGCCCTAACTTCCCTGACCAGTCTTCAGTAAATGCATCTACACCACTAGAATTAACATTCCAAAATCTGGAATAAAATACTGGCAATTTTGCATTATTATCCGAAGCAAACCAGTCTACGTCTAAATTGCCCCAATTTCTCTGCACCGCGTTTAATATTTCATTTGAAATACCCCAGTCGTCAAAATCACAAATTTTTGAAAGATAATCTGCTTTTTCATTTTCAGATCTCGGTATCCATTCAATGTCAAATAAAATTGAATTATCCAAACAAAACCTATAAATGTCAATAGATATACTCTGCAAATCGTGAGCCATGGAACCTTTCTTTACAATTTTACTAACAGACTGGTTATCAGTAAACCATTTAAAGATCCTGTAACACATTTTTTTCATGGTTTTATTTCATAAATATGATGCTGAAATTAAGATTTGTCAATATTGTAAGTTCCAATAAGCGTTATTTATAAAGATATTACCGAATTAAACATTTCATGTAAATAAAGGGAGGGAATTAGAAATTTATTTTCTATAAATTCTAAGTCAAATTTTCCAATAAGAAATGAATGCATATAATTTATTGATTAAATATAATGTGCACAAATATTTGCAGTACACATTTTACATATTCCTCGATGTTTGAAAATTGATTTATTTGCATAATTATATACATATATAATTTTTTGCAAGTGTGGTATACACACAGAAACAATATCAATCACAAAACATACAGGATCTTTAACCTTTTGAAAACGAAGTACTTGTGGTATAGATTTTAACACTCTATAAACAGCAATAAGCTCCCTCCATGTGGAAGACTGAGTAATCTCATCGGGTGACCAAACCCCGTGTGCTATACCTCCTGAAGTATTTACCTCAAAACCAGCGTAGCACATACATTTTGCATCTGAATAAACTATTTTATTGCAGGAAATAATATCAAACAATGTTCTGGAATTCAAATGTTTGAACTCATGTTCCCAGAATATCAATTGATCTTTGCTTTCTGACGAAAGTTTTATAAAGAAATCCCAATAAGGCGACTTTACTTAGTCAATACCTAAATATCTGGTCATAATTCGTGTAACGTAACCTAATACTATTGACATGGAGATGACTTTACCGACGAAGCTAGCTAGCAAACGAACAGGTACCCGGCTGTTTTATTATACCAAATTTTATTTTCTCAACTGTTTTTAAACATTTATCAATTCTTACTTGAGGGATAGAAATAATTTCCGAATCTGATTCAATATCTGATCCTAAAAACGGTAAATGTTGGACAGGCGTCTATACACATTTTTCATTTTTGTGTATAAAACCGGACAATAGAAGATCATTTTTGCTGTAACACTTAAAGATAAAGTGTTTTCAGATGTTGAGTCAAAACCAAAACTGTTGTCTAAAAACATTAGAACTTTTTTACCTTCAGATCTCCATTTAGCGATTAATGGCCGTGAAACTTTACTAAAAACATACGGACTAGTGGAAAGTCCAAAAGGTAACACTAAAAATTTATAGTATCTTACAACACCATTTTTATCTGGCCAAGAAAACCCAAAAATTTAGTATGCTGTGGAAAAATATTTATTAAATGATATGCCGAATGTATGTCGAGTTTAATCATCCAACTTTGTTTATTTAAAAATGACAATGTGACCCTAAGATCGTCATACCTGAAATATTGTTTCCATAGATTTTTGTAAACCCCCCTGAGATCAAGAATCAAACGCTTTTTACCGTTATCTGTAGTTGACACAGTAAGGGGATAAACAATAAATGGAATGTTATCACACAACTCAATTAAATTTTTATCCAATAAATCTGATATAGCTTCGCTTACACAAATTTTATTTTCTAAAGCGGACTTGTTGTTAGGCAAAAAACACGAATGAGGAACAGAATTAATCGGTATTTTATAACCTTGTCTAATTGTATCTGTAACAAAAGAATTTGAACCTATATTTATCCAGAATTCTACATGACTTTTCAATCGACCACGTACTATAATGTCTTTTTGACCAAATTCATATTCAAAATAGTTATTTGTTAAATGATTTTTTTGCGTATTATGACAGTTTATAACATGACGATTTTCATTGCTTCTTGGCTGAAAGCAGTAGGATTGTTGAAAAGTGCACCGGCAGTGACGGAAGAAGACGGTGGAACTTTGCGAGAAGACTGGAGACGTTTAGATGTTTTTGATTTACATTTCTCGAGAGCCTGATTCTCAGCTTTTCGGAGTTTAGTTTCATCCTCGGAATTGCTTGCCAGTGAATTAGCGGTATAGCAATTAACCATGTCCCAGCCTACTTCGAACGTATCTGTAATACGTATAAGCTTTTGACGATGCTTTTCTTTGTCCAAAGCCTCAGAAGTAACTTCTCGGCAGTAGGCGTATTTGTTATTGTCAATTGCTCAAATGGCTTGACTCAGTAAGCCGATAATGTCTTTGTTAAAGGTAAGCTGAACTTTGTTACCTTGTCGTTTTCAGGTAATATCAATGTCCGATTTGATTTTCTTCACCTCTTTGCCGACGGAAAATTCTTGCCACGCACCTCTTCTCTCAATTCTGTTGCGTGTTGCCTTTGTAAAGAAAGCTGCCTAGATATCTCAGCTAATTGAGCCTGTAGAGTTGAACCGTTACCGGTAGGTTGAAAAGGAATTGAATTTTCTTCTTCGGACATGTTGACAGTCGGTTAACCAAGCGCTGAATGAATTTGCAACGCTATTCCGAAATCACGTGCTGATTTAGACGCGAATAGCGCCCTCATGTGATCCGACGGGAACAAAACCAGAGGAAATGATATTCTTCTAATGCACTTTGTCAAAACGAAGAAAATTTTATTTTTCATTATATCGATGTTATTTTTCGTTACTGAAGTTGTCTTTTTAAACACATTTTAACTATTAAAAAACACATTTCAACTATAAAACAGATGACGTAAAATAACAAATTTTCCTATTTTCTGTCTTGACAATAACTTTTAAACTTAGATTTTTTTTTCCACTGTCGAACGCTAACGGTTGATAACTAAATTTGGCTGTTGCTGTACAATGATTATTTAAAAATTTCACCTCGATCTGTAAAGAATGCCGCTTGTATTCTTACTAATTTAAGTTAAAAGCTGACTCATAGTATTAAAAGTGTCGGCCCGACTGATAGAAAAAGTGTTTGTTTCAAAAGACAGCCTAAAGATATTCTCATTCATAGTGACAT